TCTGAGAGTGACTATGAGGCAGTGAAATGTGGGCAGGAGGGAGCATGCTGAAGCAGAGCAGCACAGTTCTGCAGAAACAGGTAGTGCCACATTTTCCCTGTGAGGGCCGTCGATGACGGACTATAACCACTGGATGCTGCTCTCTCAGTGGTGTGCGCTTAATGGAAGACAAACATGAAGACTCAAAGCTCTCTGGGTTGTGTAGTTGGCTGATTTTGCTTTATGGTGTCTAAGTGTAGGGTTCTATGCTCTCCTCTGCTACTCGTGTTTGGTCCCCCACCTACACAGTATAATGAGGTCTCTAGGTGGAGTAGGATGCAACTGCATGATATGTGCTGATCCTCCCCTAGCCCTTCAAAACCCACTTTGCAGGTGCACCATGGGGCTGGTTTTCTGTAGATTGAGAAATGGTGGGCATGAGAGCTATGCCACACCATTCCTCTCAATGTATTCAGCCACCAGCAGTGATCACTTAGGAACAAAAGTACTGTAGGAATCATACTATCTAGGGAATAGTGAGAAGCCCCAAACACTTGGGATTTCATTGGAAATATAGAGATATTCGGTGACTTAAAGTTCCAAACTCTCTGCCTGGTTGGTACAATTTAGAGGAAACTCTGCAAAATAAAGAATTATCTCTGAAGTAAATTTATCTTTCCATTAATTTATTTGTGGAATGAAACAACATAGCCCATAGTTACCAAGATAAACTGAGTCTGGCTTAACATTAGAGCAAGGACGAAGAGAAAATGTTTCATGCCATAATTTGATTTGAGAGAGAGATTCTTAGTAAAGTATTGAATGTCACAAGGAAAATAGCATCAGTGTTAGAGTTAAGAAAATCTATGGCTGCATTACCACAGACTGAAGTATCCGAAACTTTTCTTGGAGGTATTGCAGCTTTTTTGTCAAATGTACAATACATTGGGGTACAATAGATGTGAGATACATTTCTGTATGTGAACTTGTAAGGTACCTCTGACACAGTTCTATGCAAGTGTGAAAGTCTATAGAAAAAAAAAATCACCTACAGCTAAAATTGTTCAGTATTACACAGGTATCCAGGATTATCACTACAGACTGAAATGGATATTGGTAGAGTTGAATCAGTGATTCAGCAATGGACAAAATGGGCTTTAGGTCCCAATCCCGTGCTTATTCATGTTAACTTTGAGCATGTTCATGAATGTTCATTTGATGAGGACCTATGTCAGCAAGTTTTCTTCCTCCCTGTTTGATGAAAAACTTAGATAGGAATATGTGTGTGTGTTTAGTATACAGTATGTGTGTGTGTATGGAAAATAACACCATACATTATAATCCATCTTAACTGGCTGTAGGATGCTTCTTCCTTGTGGTCCTTTCTTCCATCTATATACCACAAATATTTGTTTTTGATTGATGTTTCCGATATATCTGTGTAAAGTTGAAGAAAGTTAACTCTGATGGAAAACAAGCAGATGTCTGGATGCATCTTTGGTTCTTTCTGCCCTTTCCATTTTTCACATAGTATGACAACAGAAAGCACTGTCTTTGATAATTATTTTTTAAATTATATTTTTAAAAAATCAATAAGAAGGACAGACGTAAGCAATCAGTCATGAAGTGAATATGTAATGCTGAAATATGAACAGCATCAAGATTTTCCTGTTATATTTAATTTTTGACCCTCAGGTTTGTTGAAGTGCTCTTAATTCTGTTGGTTGCTATGAATGTTTAGTCTTGTCTATAGGAATGGACAAAAGCACAAACCTTTTGGGGCTAGAGACCATCTTCTCACTACACCATCTTTTTCGGGGTCCGGGGAGAAAAAGCTGTGTTTCCCAGTTGATTTTGAAAACACAAGACTGGGTACCTTAAGGTTTTCAAAATATATGTTGGTGCAGAACCTGTAATTAAATAATTTAGGACATTTCAGCTGTTGGGTCATGACCTGGAAATGTATCACTGGGAATCATCACTGAATTCCCCCACGTGTTCCAAACCCAATATTTAGTTTAGTGTCCCAGAAGGGGAGCTCACCAATCACTGATAGTGGATGTGAGACTAAATACATATGTGGTGACTGAAGCTACCAGCAGGTGATCAGATATCATGGTGGTGTCTCTTAGAGGTAGGGAGATAATGATAGATTGAACAGAATGGAAAGCAACCAGGTATCCCTTTCCTGGAAAATTGTCCATAACCAGAACTGTAACAGGAACAGACTGTTATTTATAGGGACCTGAAATCAATTGTTCCTGTCCCACATGTAGAAAGAAAAGGTTTCATCTAGACTACCTCTGAGAACATCTCGTCCAACTACAAGCAATGCTTGGGGAAGTTATTTCTGAGCTCGTTTCCCCTTTTTAATGACTTGAAGCTTTGTAACCCATTTAATAGGTTGTGGTAACTGAAAATAGCATAGCAAGTTAATAAAATGTGCCACTGTCTTGCTTATAGTCTCTGACACTGCAGTACCTGGGTCCTTCCCAATCTGAAATGTGCTTAGCCTCACAACACACCTGGGCACTATTCTTGCAGGTGAGGAACGGAGGCACAGAAACACCCAGGGACCTGCCCTACCTCATACTGGAAAGTCAGTGACAGAGCAGTAAATGTAACCTAGGTCTCCCAAGACCTAGGCTAGCACCCTGACCATTTGCCACCATTCTCTATGCCTGTTGCAGAAAAGCTAGTATAGTTTGTCTAGTGGGAAGTCTCCTTTCAGAACAAATTCCTTTGCGTGAACTAGACACTAGAGGGGGACAAACACTCCCAGGGTCTGCTCAGTTTTGCGCCCACACAGAGTTGATAGGAGCACTGGTGTTAGCAAAGTCGAGCGAAGGGACAGGTGCTGGTGGGGTCAGGGCCTTAGCTTTCTGCTTGAGCAAAAGAATACAGGACTATGGGCATATACTACAGGTGTGCGTGCACTAACATTACTGAGAACAGAGGGGTGTGAATCTGAAGCAAAAGGAAGCCCCCTGCAACCATGGAGGCTCTCGCAGGACTGTGAGGCTCAAGGAGTCTGACTTCGCTCATTATTAGGGTATATTGCTGTGGAGCCAAAATGGACAGGAAGGGGCTTCCTGCTTCTGCTTATCGGCTGAGACCAGTAGATAAAAGTGCCTCAAGCACCAAACTCTGCCATGAGGCCTTCTTAGAAGGGGTGCGGTGTGTACGCATGTGTGATTCACTTGAAGCACAGATACCTGTGCGCGCGCGTGAGAGACAGATTCACTTGAAGCACAAAAATTCCTGAGCCTAAAGCCCCGCCCCCCCCGGTCTCCGTGAGAGACAACGGGCCCCGCGGAGTTGCGAAGCCAGCCCGACACAGGGCTCTGCCGTCCCCACCACTCCCCGCTCGCGGGTAGGGCAGGGCAGGGCGGCCGCGTTGAGGGACCCTCGCAGGCAAGTTTGCCGGCAGCGCCGGGCGGCGGCACCTGCCCGTGCCCGTGCCCGTGCCCGTGCCCCTGGCTGGCGGCT